GCCCAGCACAGAAGTACTGACCTGAAAGTCTTGTTTAAGTGACCATCAAAGAACCCTTTCCTAAAATGGGTCACAAGCATAGACAGGATTCAGTACTCCAAAGCAACATAAATTGCTGCTTTAATTATGAGCTCTTCACTTTTTAAACAATTTTCTGCCTTGTTTAGGACATAACTTTAAAGAAATAATGCTGAAATCTAACTCTTAGTTCACAGATAACCGTAAATCATTAGGTGCATTTAGATGTTGAACTGAACATGGCAATGATGAGAAGAATGTAAAGGGGAAACTTCAGCATACAACTGTGTTTACAGTATCAGTATGCTTAAATACGCTGGGCTAAGATACAGATTTCAAGATGACAGGAAGATAACCTTTGTTTTATGTCAGTACTTGACTTTTAGCATGATTGTTTGTAAATAATATCCATACACTTTGAATGTGTCCATTACATGTTCAACTTTCAAGCTCAATTGTCTGTACCAGTAACTTAAACTGTTCCTCACCTTTGCAATAATGGAGCTTCAGTACTTCATTTATCTGTCTGTCTGCTTCTCCTTTTCAGATCACACTAGTAAACTACAGATTCATTGTCTATACTATTAAGCTTTAAATTATTATTATTCTATCACTATTATACCTTCAGAGTGCCAATACTTGTTTGGATAAATTTATCTTCGTATACAGTTAAAATTTTTAATGGTACCTCAATATGCTATGGTTTCTTGTTCACCATTTCATAAAATAGCATTTGTGCTACTTTTTATTCTGTGTTCAGTTCTGCTAACCCGTGCGAAAATCCTTTCCCTCCTCTGAGAAAGGTGCATCCCATCAGATACTTCCAGGCCTACTGTTTTGTAGACCATTCCATTATTCAGAAACACCAAGGACTGCCAGTGACACCAGCCTCAGAGATGTATATTGATCAGCTGTGTCAGGTGGAAAAGAAATTGGTACTGTTCCCTGCTACTGAAAGGATAGAGGAGAACACCAAGTGTGCCCTGTTATCACTTTCCCAATCAGCCCAGGGCTCTGAAGTCTCTTTTGATTGCCCTGGAGCTTCTTTTTGCTACTTCATTGCCACCAGTGTGAAAAACCAAGAACGGATAACAAGCAAGTGATTGTACTAGGCAGTGAATCTTCTAGCAACGTCACTTACCCGGGCCCCAGGGCAGTGACAGACTTCCCTATGGGTTGGTTCTTGGTGGGCATATTGGGCTATCTCTTCCATATGCCCCAAGACCTGGATGAACATGTGTTAACTTGATGCTCTTTTTCACCCTGAAAGTCCCCCACCATCCTCATTTCCCAGGCAGTAAGAGGTAGTGCTTTGTTTCCCCATGTTAGACACTGGTGCGAATGGGTCAATGCAGGACTGATGTTGAAGGCAAGAGACAGACATGGCGGAACTGAGACCTGCTGCTCCAACTGGAGAGTGAGAAGAAAATGCACAGGCAGGAAAGCAGAGACAAGTAATCTGGCAGGAGTGTAGGAATACTGTTAGGCTGTGTAGGGACAGGGTCAGGAAGGCCAAGGCCTAGCTGGAACTGTACTTGGCAAGAGGTGCAATGAAGAAGAGCTTCCCCATGTATGTAAACCTGGAAAGTCCAAGGAGGTGGACTGCCCTCATGAGCAATGCAAGAAGGCTGGTAACAACGGATAATAGGAAGGCTGTGATATTCGCCAAAAGTTTTGCCTCAGAGTTCACTGGCAATTGCTCTTCACGCAGTCCTCAAGCAAATGGATTGGGAAGTGGGGTCTGGTGCAGCACTGTCTTTCCAGGAAGGGGGAGTGGGACTGCTCAAGGAACCTGGACATTCATAAATCTGTGGGTCTTGATGGGAGTCCTGAGGAAACTGGCTGACATAGTCACCATCCTCAATTCTCAATGATATTTGAAAAGTCATGGTGGTCTGATGATGTCCCTGATCACTGGAATAAAGGCAATGTCACACCTGTTTCTAAGAAATGTAGAAAGGATGACACAGGGAACTACAAATCTGTCAGCCTTGCGTCTGTGCCAGGGAAAATCACGGAGTAGATTCTCCGGGAAGCTACGCTAAGGCACATGGAAGAGAGGAAGGTGACAAGGGACAATCAGCAAGGCTCCACCATGGGGAGGTCCTGCCTGACCAACCTAGTGCCCTTCTTTGATGGTTCAGTTGCACCGGTGGACAAGGGAAGAGCCACTGGTGTCGTCTATCCAGACTTCAGTAAGGCCTTAGACACAGTCCCCCACAACATCCTTATCTCAAAACTGGAAAGATACAGGTTTGAGGAGTGGACTGTTTGATGGATGAGGAACTGGTTGTGAGATGATACCCAGAAAGTGGTGGTCAGTGGCTCAGTGTCTGGATCGAGATCAGTGATTTCCTTCAGGGAGTCATCACTGGGACCTGGTGGTCTTCAGTATCTTCACCCATGACATGGACAGTGAAATCCAGCGCACTCAGCAAATTTGCTGGACTCGGCTGTGGGATGAGGCGACACACGTGAGCAATGGGATGCGATACAGAGAGACGTAGACAGGCTCGAGCAGTGGGCTCAGAGAACCTCCTGAGGTTCAGCAAAGCCAAGCTCAAAGTCTTGCACCTGATTTGTGGCAATCTCTACTATCAGTACAAGCTGGGGAATGTAATGACAGAGGTGCAGCCCTGTCCAAAAAGACCTGTGGGCTCTGGTTGACGGTAAGCTGGACAGGAGCCAGCAACGTGTCCTTGCAGTCCTGAAAGCCAACCATATCATGGGCTGCATCAAAAGCAGCGTGGTCAGCAGGAAGAGGGAGGTGATCCTGCCCCTCTACTCTGTGCTGGTGAGACTTTACCCGGAGTAAAATGTTCAGATGTCGATTCCTCAGGACAGGAGAGAGACGGCCTGCTGGAGTGCATCCAGAAGAGGGCCACAAAAACGATCCAAGGAATGGAGCACTTCTCCTATGAAGACAGGCTGAGAGAGAGGGGGCTGCTCAGCCTGCAGAAGAGGAGGCTCCAGGGAGACCTGAGAGTGGCCTTTCATTATCTAAAGGGGAGGTATAAGAAGGAACAAACTCCTTTGCAGGGTGTGTTGCAACAGGACAAGGGGGAAAGGTACCAAACTAAAACAGAGGAAAATTAGTGTGGATATAAGAAAAACTTTATTATGAGGAAGGTGTGAAGCCCTGGAGCAGGTTGCCGAGGGAGGTGGTGGAAGCCCTGTTGCTGGGGGCACTGAAGGTCAGGCTGGATGGGGCTGTGAGCCCCTTGATCTAACTGGAGATGTCCCTGTTCACTACAGAGGGGTTGCATCAGGTGATCATTAAGGGTCCCTTCCAACTCAAATGATTCTGTGATTCTGCAGACTGGGATTGTTCAGCTGGGAGAAAAGGAGGCATGGGGAGAGACCCTGTTGATCTTTATTTGATTTAGGAGTGTTGATTTATTTGAAAGCAGGTCGTAGGGAAATGGAGGCCTATCTCTTCTCACAGGTAAATGGTGATAGTATGAGAGGTAAGGGCCTCAAATTGCCCCAGGTTGGATATTAGGAAAAATCTTTTCCAATAGAGCGGTCCAGCTTTGGAACAGGCTGCACAGAGGGGTGATGGAGTGACTGTCTCTGGAGGTGTAGATGTGGCACCATAGGGATGTGGTTTAGTGGGCATGGTGTTGATGGATTGACAACTGGACTTGATGATCTGAAAGGTCTTTTCCAACAATGATGATGCAATAATTCTAAATATGCAAAGGGCGGGAGTCAAGAGGATGAGGCTAAGCTCTTTTGGATGGTGCCCAGCACTGGAACAGGCTGCCCAGAGAGGCTGTGGAGTCTCCTTCTCTGGAAACATTCAAAACCTGCCTGGATGTTTTCCTAGGCAACCTAGTGTAGGGATCCTGCTGTAGCAAGGGGGTTGAACTAGGTGATCTCCAGACCTCCTGACCTGCACTTGGTTGTATCACAGAATCATAGAATGGCCAGGGTTGGAAGGGACCTCAAGGATCACGAATCTCCAACCCCCCTGCCATGTGGAGGGCCACCAATCTCCGCATTTAATGCTAGACCAGGCTGCTCATGGCCCCATCCAATCCGGCCTTGAATACCTCTAGAGATGGTGCATCCTCAACCTCTCTGGACAGCCTGTTTCAGCACCAGACTCTGTGGGGGCAGCCAGCAGAAGGGGTATGGGGCCTCCATGGCAACGGACAGGGCTTTGTGATGTCAGGAGCTACCACGTCCAAAGGCCATTGTGACATGGGGGCGTCACTGTGCCTTTAGGGTCTGCAGTCCCTGTGCTGCTCACTCTCAGGAGAGCAGCTCCACGAGGCAGCAGCTCCCCTGCGTGCTTGTGTTTCCGCGAGAGGAGACAGAGACTTGTGTTTCCGCGAGAGGAGACAGAGACTTGTGTTTCCGCGAGAGGAGACAGAGACTTGTGTTTCCGCGAGAGGAGACAGAGACTTGTGTTTCCGCGAGAGGAGACAGAGACTTGTGTTTCCGCGAGAGGAGACAGAGACTTGTGTTTCCGCGAGAGGAGACAGAGACTTGTGTTTCCGCGAGAGGAGACAGAGACTTGTGTTTCCGCGAGAGGAGACAGAGACTTGTGTTTCCGCGAGAGGAGACAGAGACTTGTGTTTCCGCGAGAGGAGACAGAGACTTGTGTTTCCGCGAGAGGAGACAGAGATGTCCAAGGAACAGGAGAAGAACTGTTCTCAGCTCAACAAAGGGCTGCCGAGTGTGCGAGAACGCCGCCAGGTACAGGACATGGTGGGAAGGAGAGGGACAGCATGGCACCGAAAGAGCCATAGTGTGGAACAAAGTAGCTGGGTGACATGGCTGGCCCTGAGCGCCTCTGGCCAGTGCACCTCTCCTCCTGCCCCGGAGCATTTCCAGGGGATGTGCCAGCTCCTAGGCTGGCCTAGGTGCATGCAGGCCCAGCAATGCTGTGTCCAGCAGCACACTGAGCTCAGCCGGGCTGTTTGTGTCCAGGAGCTGCCTCCTAATGGGAGTCAGGAGTGTCGGCGCTGCTGGGGATGCATGCTGGTGGCAATGGAGCCAGCTGTATCCCACACACCTCCTTCTTCCCACAGGTGGGCAGCAGGCCACTGCAAGCTGTGCTGCCAGGCAGCAGGAACCAGGAATCATCCCTCCGTGAGGTTCATCTGCCGTTACTACCCCACCTGGAGAGCACTCATGCCTCTGGGAGTCACAGTGCACAGGTAGGGAGCCCTGGGGAAACCGGGCAGAACATCTTCCCGAGTTCAGGGAGCAGGGCAGCAAGAGGAGCTGAGTGCTGCCCCCAGGGCTCCCTGCAGAGCCTCGGGGGAGCCTTTCCAGTACAGACACGTAGAGCACAAAGGGAAAGGACCCCTCTAAATTAGCTCTGTTTCTCTTGCAGGTGGACAGGAAGAAGCTCAGGCAGGCACCGCCCCACAGCAGTGACTCCAGGGAGGGCAGACAGCAACCTTTGCCAAGGCAGGCAATGCCACTGGCAGGTGCACCCCAGCATGCAGCTTCTGCACGTACAGAAGTTCACAAATTGCCCCCTCTGCAAGCACCAACCTCCATGCATTCCCCAAGAAGCAGTCACTATTCTATGGGATCTACAGCTTGCAGACCGCCCCCACTTGTTCCATGTCCTCCAGGCAATGCTCAGCAGCAGGATATGCCAGCGAGGGCCAAGAACTGGGAGGCAGATAAGCTAGTCCCTATGCCCCCCCTCCAACCAGCACATAAAACAACAAAGTCGCTAGCGTTGGCATATCTTAGGCGTCCAGTAGCTGCAAAAATGGCAGAAGTTTGCCAGAAGCCAGTCGCTGCAAGACCAAAACCTTGCTGGAAACCGGCACGTCCACAACAAGGCCCACCCACCCGCACTGTGGGAGCACCAAGAACAACCGCTCCAGTGCCGGTCCCTGAGGCTGGGAGTGGCCCTGCAGATGAGGTGCTACCAGATCCCAGTGCTCAAGAGGGCGTAAGAGATGCTGATGGGGCTTCTACCGCAGCACAGCAGGCAGCGGATGATGGTGCTGAAGCTGCGGGTATTCCTCGGGGCATGCCGTCTTCCAAGGATGTTGAAAAGAAGATGCGCTCCTGGGTGAAACAGCACATGTTCTTACCCTGCTTACTTTGCGCTTCCCGAGACGTTGTTCTGGAGGACATACAGGAAGAGAGGAAAGACACCCCTGAGAGAGAGGCTGCAGCAGAGGCAGCTGAAGTCTCGCTGAGAACACCGTCTGGCGAGGCAGAGGCCCAGCCTGCAGCTTCTGCTGTGTCTGTGCACCCTCAGGACAAGGTGAGCAAGGCACATGTGGTTGGCAACAGGTGTGAAACAGTGGCAGGTTGTGAAGCATGTGTGGTGGAGTGAAGCCTGCCAAGATGAGCCCTGGTGTAGTGGGCCGGCTGCCAGGATGTGTCAGCGGCTGCGGAGACGGGGTGGCTTGTGTGTAGGGGTGCAATGTACAAAGCCTGTGCAGCTCTAGGAAGCAGGGCAGCTGTGACCAGGGGGCTCAGGGCTACCCTTGGGGCTCTTTGCAGGGCCTTCTGGAAGCCTTTCCAGCAGGTATACATATGGTATGAAAAGACAGGGTCCTCCTAACTTCGCTTTTCTCCTCCATTTCTCTTGCAGGTGGACAAGCTGGAGCTCAGGGAGGCACAGGCCCCCAGCAGTGTCTCCAAGAAAGGGAGACAGCCTCAGTCAACTTCTGGAGCATCTCTCGTTGTTCCTGTACCCCCACTCCAGCCTGCACATGCCACACAAAAGTCACTCCAGTTGACATATCGTGGATATCCAGTAGCCCCAAGACCAAAACCCAGACAGAAACCAGCAGGTCCACAGAAAGGCGCACCCACCCGCACTCTGAGAACAAGAACTGCCCAGGTGCCGGCCCCTGAGGCTGGAAGTGGCCCTGCAGATGAGGCACCAGGTCCCAGTGCTCAGGAGGGCAGAAGAGATGATGATGATGGGGCTTCCACCTCATGTTCTGTCGCAGCACAACAGGCAGCAGATGATGGTGTCAAAGAGGCTGGGACTTCTCAGAATATGTCGGGTGCCGTGTACATGCGCTATAGGCCACTCTCCCTTATGAGAGTGCGTGTGTACTTGTCCTGCAGTCTTTGCAAGTGCAAATACGTTGTTGAGAGGGATGTCAGGAAGAGTTGGAGGATACCCCTGAGCGAGATGCTGCAGCACAGGAAGCCAGTGAGAACACCATCTGGTGAGGCAGAGGCCCATCGTCCAGCTTCCTCTGTGGCTGCTCATAGCAGGCATACCTAGCCCCAGCTCACTGCCAGATGACTTGGGAGACCACAAGCCCATGCTTTTTTTCTGTGGGACAATTGAGAAGACAGCCCTAAGTAAAACGGAGCAGCAGAGGCAACCGACATCCCAGCAAGCATGTCTAGAGCCCAGTCTCGTGAGGCAGAGGCCAAGCCTTTGGCTTCTGGTGTAGCTGCGAACTCAACAGCACAAGGTAAGGAAGGCACACGTGGTTGGCCATGGGGTTGAAATGGAGGCAGGGTCCAGAGAGTGCATGGTGGGGTGAAGCCTTGCAAGCTGAGCACTGCTGTAGCAGGCTGGCTGCCAGGGCTTGTCAGGGTGTGGAGTCTCAGGGATGGGAGATAGCCTCTGTCAACTTAAGGACTGTCCCTTCACGTTTTGGAAGCAAACCAGACTGCAGATGACGGTGCTAAAGCTGATGTAGTTAACAAAATACGCAAGTTAGAGATGTAGTCAACGAAATACGTAAAGCGGGGGCTGTCAAGGTCACCAGGCGTAACCAGGCGTAATCTGTGTGGGCCCCTTGCGTGGTTAGTTAATACGTGAAAGGGGGGCTGTAACAGTCATCAGCCTCTGCGGGGGCTCCTTGACTCATGAGAAACCATGATGAGACATGGCAAGACAAGACATGCCACATGTCTATTGGGCATAGATAACCGTAGCAAGGGTGATTGGTAGCACTGTGATATAAGGGACAACTATAAGAAGAGTGTGTTGCTTGCAAGAAACGCCATTTGCCGCTCACCACATCGGTGTCATAAAAGTGTGTGATTTGGCCGGGGCTGTCTGAGCACTTCACGACGGGACATTATTCAGAGGTTGCCGAAGCAAAGGCAACAAGCTGATGTCTCTTCTCAGGTCCTTCTAGGTGCCAGTGAGGCTGATGGTCCACCTTTGCCAGGATGGTGCTCTGGGCTCTGAGCAGGGCTTTCACCTGAAGCTGCATCAAGGGACAGCAGGAGGAAGAGTCATGAGGTTGCTGGCACCAGGCAGCTCCCTGCAGATGGCTGCTGCCAACTCAAGGATTTTGGAATTTTGAATAAATCTTTTATTAACTTTCTCTCGGCTGTGTGCCTGTGTGTGCTTGTGCTGTGTGCTCTTAATAGCAGACAGTCCCTGTGCCTGTGGGGCCAGTGACTGGAGTGCCATCTCTGGCTAGCGAAGGGGCAAACCAGATCAGCCTGGGAGTGCATGAGGCCTGTGAAGAACTGGCTGAGAGGCCCTCTAAGGCACCTCTCGCTCTCTACTCTGCCCTCCTGAGGCTCCATCTGGAGTACTGCATCCAGCTTTGTACAGGAGACGTGTGGAGCTGCTGGACAGGGTCCAGAGGAGGGCCACAAATATGAACACAGGTATAGAGCACCTCCCCTACAGCAACAGGGTGACGCATCTGGTCTTGTTGATTTCTGTGGAGACAGCTTCAGATCAGGAACGACTGCACTGAGGAAGGGATCCAAAGCAAAAAGGGTGACAAAAAACTCTGGAGCTTTCTGAAGCCAGCAAAGAATGCTTTGCCTGTGCTGGGGAGCTTGCAGCTTGTGGACAGGCTGCTCAGCTAGCATGGGCAGAGCCAGCACTGCCCTCCCTTGAGCAGGCTACCAGGCCTTGCTAGAGTGCACAGGGTGAGTGATTGGGGAGTGTGTAGTGTGTGCCTTGCAGGCTGCAGCTTGCATGGCAGTGTGCTGAGCCTTCTCCAGTACACAAGGTGAAGGTGATTGCTCTAAGTGGCTAAAGATCAGGGGTACTCATCCTAAGTGATCCGACCCAACCCTCAAGTCACAAGCAGTGACTTGATACTTGCAGAGATCCAGCCATGGTTGCTATGTGGTCAAGGGCTGTTGTTACAAGAACTGTGCATACTCAGACAGAGGCCCCACACAAACAGGTGGGAGTCTGGCACTTGCAGTGGAGAGCAGAGACAACACCTGTGTCAGATGCAAATGGATAAATGATCTGCTCAGCCTGGTGGCTGAGTTGAAGAATGGAGAGGGTGTAGAGTAACAGAGAGTACAGGCGAGAGATGATGAAACCCCAGGTAAATTGTAGGATCCCTTCTCCAGTGCAGCATCACAAAGATGATTATGGGAATGGAGCATCTCCGTTAAGAGGATAGGCTGAGGGAACTTGGTTTTCTAGCCTGGGGAAGAGAAAACTGAGTGGTGACCTCATTAATGTTCATAAATACTTAAAGGTTGAATGCTAGGAGGATTGAGCCGGTTTCTTCTCAGTGACATCCAATCATAGGACAAGAGGAAATGGATGCAAGTTGAAATGTAGGAGGTTCCACATAAATATGAGGAAAAAAAACTTCACAGTAAGTTTAACAAAACACTGGAAAGACTGCTAAAGACTATGGGGTCTAAAATTTAAACTCACCATCACACAAAGGCACTAACATATTGAAAGTTCAACAAATGTAAGAGCTATGAAGAAAATTTTCCTACCACTTCTCACTAGAAATGCAGTTAATTGTCTGGCTTATCTTACCTTTGTGCATTAGCATGCTAGTTCACTGTAAAGTTACATCATGAGTTCATTGCAGATGAACTTGCACTGATATGGACCCATCCTAAGACAAATCTGTCAAGAAATATTAATATTTGGAGTTAGTTTTCTAAAGTAGCTAAACTCCTTTTTTAATTTGCTACTTGAGAAAAATTGTTTGATTTTTCAGGGATACTATCTTGTGAGAAAGAAAAGCAGACAACTTTATTTGTACAGTCTGAATAATGGTAATGCAACTTCTGAACGTGTTGCACTCTTGATTAAAACAAAATAGGCAAAATAGGACATCTGGGATGTTTTAATGTGTCTTCTAGTTTATTGCAATAGCCTACACATAAAAAGAGAGTAAATTCACTACAAAGAGACACAGTGTAACAGCTAATTACAGTAGTGCAAAAAATGCAGAAAGTTTTAGAATATGTCACCTCAAAAAGTTCTTGGGTTTTTTTGTTGTTGTTCCTTTGTTTATGGATTTATTCCCTGTCTTCTCCCATGATACAATAAGGCTTTATTTCTTGCTTTTAATGCCTGTGCTTAGGGATTAGATATTTAAATTAATTGCTGGAGAATGAAAGCACATCAGTAATTCATCTATTTAGTGACAGTCGCGCTTTTAAAATAGAATGGATACTACTAAATGTTCATAAACAGATTCTTTCGAATCGATGCCAAAATGTATCCAAGGTCTTTGAAGTCCAAGGAATATTTTAAGCAATTTACAACTAGTATGAAATGCTTTTCTTAGTCATTTGATATATAAACTATATATTACTAGAACCAACATTAACTCATCATCAGAAAAGTCCACCTTAAAATATTTATGATTTCATTACATTTATCACCATGAAAATTCACACAAGGATTACAAGTCAGATTACAAATGGGAATTATTTTTATGAAAAATAATTAGGTCTTGCTCCAAAATCATATGCTTCTGATTCATTTAAAGTCAGTCCGTATCAGGTCAACTCAGTTTTGATTTCATTAGGGATGAACATACGTCAAACATTGTTGCCTGAGTTGAGACTTTCAAAGATCCACAAAATCTAAACTACAGTGACCTGAAGTAACATTGATGCTTGTCGCCTCAAATGAACATCAGCAAAGGCATTGGTACAGCAGAGCCTATAAGGAATGCAAATACTCTCTTGTTATGACTGGGGAGACCCAGAGGCATCTTGTTCTGGTTTCGGTACAGACTTCCTTTAGATTGATAGTGTTTAGTGTGTTGACTTCTAAATTTCCTCTTGGATTTTGAGTGGTTGAGCCTTGACTATATTCTGACTTTTTGCTATTCCATTCTTCATATTCACTGTCTCTCTTAGTTATCCTGGGGTCAAAGTAATTATGTGTGAAAATACACAGAGCATGTATAGAACACAAAAAAGCAGAGGCAAAGTTCTTCCGCTGTGATAATACAGAAAATAAATTCAGATTCATGATTGTTGTTTAAACTTCTCTGGATGCTCCTGCTCAGAGCTAACTCCACGTTCTTCTCCAACTATCACTGCATTCACTTTGCAGCGCCCCCTCCAGCTTTCCCAACCTGAGGTAGTTCTGCTATACAAGTGCCCACCATTATTTATTTTTCTCCTCAAAACTTCCTCTCTCCACCATCCTGTGCCCATTATGCTCTGTCCACCCTGTGCCACATTGTATATCCATATTTTGTGGACTATGCACTTTCTTCTGGAAAACAGTTATATACTGATTTTTTAATTTAATCTGCCCCAAACAGCAACCATGTTGGGTTGTGCTTTGCCACAGAAACCATCCTGTCAAGTTTTTAAGCTTACATCACTTTGACAGCAGGTGAGATTGACAACATATTACTTTGATTCATTCAGGTCACACATTATTTCATAGAAATTTCTTTGACAGTCTTTATGTACACACATATATAAATTTTTCAGATAACTCCTCTTCAGTGAGGTGAGCATGTCTTTGCAACTGTATTTGTAATGCAGGCATACAATAAAACAGAAAAAAAATAAAACATCTCTGCCTGCTTCCCTATACAATAAAAAATTTGTAACACTAATTCTTTTAGTTGCAATATTTTTATAAAACCCGCTTTTTGAAATTCCTGTTTTATATCCTTGTGTCTCAGAGTCTCCTAAAGATGATCCACTTTTCCTATTACTAATACTTTTCAAAACTGCAAAGTCCAACAACATTGCTCCTGTTTTGGAGGGGAGGTCTGTCATCTGAAGAAAGCATCACACAGCAATCAATTGTATGACCTTGTGAAACAGGTCATCTTTCCCTTACTCCTTAGTACTTAACTGAGATTTTCCAAAAATGTGTACATCTTTACATACTTGTTTTGCATTACATCCATATTTTAAGAGTATTAGATGTTAAATGGAGCATAAGTTACTATAAAATTTTCTCAAAAACAGTTTGTACAAATCATTAAATGCAACCTAGATAGGGCTTAGAGCAATCTGGTCTAGTGCGAGGTGCCCCTGCCTATAGCAGGGGAGTTGGAACTAGATGATCTTAAAGGCCCCTTCCAATACAAGCCATTCTATGATTCAATGTATTATCCTTTTCTTTAAAAGCCACATTTTTTAAAGTCCCTACTTATCTTTCCCTAATGCATTAGGTACACAATGTCCTAAATAAAAACATTATCTGCTTGTTAGTACATTAAATTCTTACACGATAAGACAACTTGAAAAATGCCTCCTTGTAATGTTAAAATTCATCATCATATATGAAGTTGAATACTCTATAGGAAACTGCTGCCAGCATGAGCTTTCAACATAGGGTTAATAAAATAACAGTCTAGAAATAGTTATTAAATGTTGTTGAATGAAGATAAAACAGGAATGCTTTCTCTAGCCTATGATATTGATCAGAAGTTAAAATGCTCCTTTTCAAAAGGAATCAGTGCAATGTGAATCTACATTGTAGAGCTATTTGAACCACCTGAATAGAAAAAAAAAAAAAAAAGCCAAATGTTCCCATGTGGGCATTCCCGTGATAGCCAGAACTCCTTTCACAATCAAGTCTGCTTAGCCACTCTTTTAACACAATTCTGTGACTCAGAAAACACAGGCTGGTTTAGATGCACAGAAACAGCCACATTCTTGGGGTAGTGATAACCTGTTTGTTGCTGTCTTCTATCATAATCTTAAAATAGAGTCCATTTCCTTGTTCTGATACTTTTAAGTAAAGGGAATAATCCCCAAAGTGTCTGATTATACACTGTGCTACTTTCAGTTCATAGCAAGCCTTTAAAGCTACTTTATAGATGAAATGATTCATACTGTTAGCCCCAAATGAAAATATATTAACGAAGGTCTAACAACACTGTTTTCTCAAATGATTATTTCCATATACCACAATGGCACACACTGAGTATAGCATGAATTCAGGCTTGAAATCTATGCGAAACCTGCTGTTATATTCTCCTTGCTTTGTTTGTTTCTGTTTCTTTCTGTTTCTTGCTACATATAAAATATTCATTACCCGTAAACATTAGATGAGACAATTATAATATAAG